GTAGCCAGAACTGGCTGCAGAGAGATTGTGAAATCAAAGCACTTCAGCAGGTAATACAACAAATTTTACAGCTTGCTATACAATTGCAATACTATATCAAGAGAATGTGGTTCCACCCTTTTATAATAAAGGGCTGTATTGCTATACAATTGCAATACTATATCAAGAGAATGTGGTTCCACCCTTTTATAATCAAGGGCTGTATATGCTATAGAAAGCTAGTCTGTCTGAGCTGTATGTGAAAATGACATAACATGATTTTCAGTAATTGACAGTAATCAAGAACCTTATGCATCTTCAAGGTCAAAGAGAGACTCCAAAAAGGGAATGCAAGATAAGTACAAACAGGAAAAAAAAAAAAAAAAAATTCAGCCACACAGACATCAATTACCAGATTGATGAGCAGCATATTGATTACTCCAGTTCTTTTTCCTTAGATCTTCCTCCCTGTAAAAACAAACCAAACTCAATTTCTGATTTCCTTCTCAATTTTCGATATGGAAAATGAATAAACCAACCTAGAAAACCAAAAGAATGTTAAAACCAACCTTTTTTTTCGAAACCTAGAAATCCCTTTGAGCTAAACCCGTGCGATGAGAAGAAGGATGAAGCGCAGCTGGAAAGATGGCTGAACAAACGAAGCAGATGAGATAAGATGAATTAGCAAGGGTAGAGAAATCTGAGAATAAGCTATGCATGCTTACCTTGAAAGTACCCATGTCTGAGAATTAGAGAAAGAGATTGAAACAGAGAGAGAGCTGGAGTTCGATATGAAGAAGAAGACCAATGCACACCACTCCTATAAAAATCGAAGCCTCCAGATAATCTCCAACAGTAAACCGACCTCTTCCATCATTGCCCCGCAACCAGGCCAACCAACCTGGTTAGAAACGAACTCAGCATCAGATAGAACGAAGGCTCCAAGTCGTTACAATCGAAGGAGAGGGGGGGCAAAACGGGGAAGAGCAGAAACTAATTAATCAAGGGCAAACCGTGATTTCACTGTGCTGATGAGAAAAATGAGTTTGCAAAACAGTAAAAAGAGAGGGCATTTCCGTCATTTCACTGTGCTTAGGAACAGTGTTTAGTTGCATTGCGCTTTAGTATATATATAATTTAAAGAAATGCGGGCAGATTGGTATAGAATGTAGCAACCGGTGGAACTAAGTGAGAACTTGAGTTATGTGGAGCAACCAGTTCAGATGCTTGGATTGGAAAATGCAAGTACTATGTTCTAGAACCATTCCACTGGTGAAAGTCTTGAGGAGCAGATGCGGGTTCAGTACCTTTTTTTGTAACAGGTATGAAATTTCGGGACGTATATAAAAAATTATAAGCAGAAAAAAGAAAATACAGTAGAGAATATTTATTACCTCATAGAGTGCATCAGATACAAGGGCCATATTGTGAGCAAATTTAAATCGTGAATTCACGTCATATGTTGGATCTGTAAATGGGTTGCCTAATATGTAACCCTGTGTTCAATACAAAAGAGCATTTAGTTATCTAAGACAAGGTTGTCTAGTGATTTATGGAACCCCCAAAAAAAAAAATTAATGAAGGAGTTGCCATGTTTCAATGTCATATTTTACTATCAATGAACTGGAATTTTAAATCTAAATTGAAATATATAAAAAATAAGGAATTGTCAAAGAACTATGATGGTCAAAGAAAAGCATTAATCCCAAGCTAAATTAGATGAGTGGAAATCAACGACAACAGCCCAAAGCTTAAACAGGGATAAAAAGTTGCATGTCACCGGTTTAAACCCCCTAGCATTATTTGCATTTTCAGTGATTGAACCAGCTTTTGAGTCTGGGTTTTGTTGGGCTAAAACAAATTTGTCCTCATGGCTGGAGTGGACTAGGCTAGAAAGCTAGAAAAGCTCGAAAAGAAGGCTGCTGCATGAAGAAATTATTGTGATTTTCGGCCAGCTACAGCCTGCAGTCTTCTACATTGTTCTTCTGCCCCTCACTCTCTCTCTCTCTTCACGTGTAACACGAGGAGATAGATAAGACACGGAAGGGGTATGAACCCGGGACACTTCAATTTTTCTCCCATATAAGACCACAACATATACAAACAAAGAGTCTACGAGCATGCTTCTAAAATGAATAAAAGCGTTTTTAAACCAATTGTAACTTTAATAATAGAAAAATTGTCAACGGGGTCTAGTCCAGTAGAAGAGGGCTTTTAACTTGCAAATAAAAGATCTCAAGTTTAAACTCTCATAACATCTTAATTATGGTTGTGTGTATGAGAAACCCCCGCTCGCTCCCCTTTAATTTAGATAAACGAAAATTAGTTGTGCTCCTTTAAGGCTGTAAAGCTGCGGGCCTATAGTGAAAAGATAACATGAAAAACAACCATGTCAAGTCAGATTGAATTCTTACTTTGAGATTCATTGGTGGTTCACGCCCAACCTCATTTCCTGCAACAGTTTAGATATAAGAAGACTTGTTCATAATAAATAAATAAATAAATAAGGTAGTAACATTATCTGGAAACGTCTTCATTCACAACAAAAGTTTACCTTCGGACACTTCTTGAGTAATGATGGGAACGGTCATGCCTGAATATGAATCACCACCAATGTATAGTGGATTTTTCAGAAATTGAGGGTGATCTTTAATCCACTGCAATACCATCATATATATATATATATATATATATATATATACACACACAAAATTAATTAGTAAATTAATTAATGAGATTTATACATAATTTTCAATCCATTGTAACTTAATTAACCCATTTTCACCTTCCTTAGAAATTCATAAGTTTGCGCTGCTGATAATGCATCACCTGTCATGTATCCTTGAGAACTTTTTGCATATGAGAATCCAGTACCAACAGGTTGATCCAAAAATATTATATTCGCAAGCTGAAAATTTTCAGTGCCTTATGGTGGGTAAAATAATTATTCGCAAATCAGAAGTTTTGCCACTAACTATACACATACATACCTTTGTCCATGAGTATGGATCTAACAACAAAGTTGGTTGGTTCCCACTAGAATCTGCGTAGTTAAATACCAGTGGACCTGCCAAAAAAGAAAGAACTCAATCCATCAGCAAAAGTAGAGGACAAGGTTAAGAAGTGAGCTTATGATCATGTACCAATTTGATATACTAGGCCAAAAAAAGAAGAGCAGCCAGGACCTCCGGTGAGCCAAAGCACTAGAGGATCTTCCTTGGGATTTCTCTCCGACTCAATGAAGTAATAAAAGAGCTGCACATCATCTGAATCGCCCACCCCCAGGTACCTACATATCATTAAACCCCATAGCTTTTATTCTCATCGATGTGTTGTATGCGTATGAACTGATATAATAATATTCATGCTGGAACCAATATGATAACGTATAAAATTATATATACGAGATAGACACAAGATCGTATATAATTGATTACGCCTATAATTTTATCTTTTAGTTTAAAAAGTACGAACCCGGTTTCAAGTTTGAACGGGAGTTCACCGGACATGCCCGGCAGGGTATTGACGATGGATGCTGAAGAGACAATGTGACAGTTGAGGAGGAACAGAACAAGTGCTAGCGGCAACATGGTGATCCCGTGACTGGCTATCTTCTTGTGGCATATTATATATAGTTATTTTCGCTACTACTTTTTTTTTTTTTTTTTTTTTTTTTTTTTTTGTGGGGGGGGTTTTGTTTGTGTGTGTGGTGGCAATTAACTGCTTTTGCTAGTATACCTTATCGTAAATATTACATATTGGACATGATATGGACGGCCAAATTGAAACATTGGTTTGACTTCATGGCTGTAATATTTTTGTTCTCGTAGTTTCGTTCTATTTTCCCATCAATTATTGTGCACATCTTCTCACTTGAAAACCCCAATTTGATTTGTTATTTATTTTTACTTAAATGAGGTTGATTTGTTATTTATCCATTTTCAGTTTTAGTTTTCATGCCCATAGGATGGAGGTCCATTAAGTATCTGTTTGCTACTGTAATTTGCCCATATACCCATTAATAATTGGTGGTGATCCACTGTGAACTTATGGGGCCGGGATTTTTACTTCAACTCCTATATATAGAGTGACTTTGCAATGCATGTTAGGTGTTTGATTGGATTGATATTGAACATTAGGTCTTGAATTTTAGGTCGTCTTAGGCGATAAATTAGATGAGATCCCTTTCTTAGTATACAATGAAGCTTTAGAGATATTTAGTCATATACCTATTCTTAGCATCAATAATATAAATAAATCCTATACCATTTAATTTCTATTAACAATTCCAAAAAAACCTTCAAAAATGACAGCTGACCCTATTAAATTTAATTTTGATGTCCTATTGAGTGTTTTGGGCTTTTTTATGAGGTTTTAGAGTTGGATTTGTTTTAAGAAATCAATGACAATTTTGTAATTTAAAAGAAGTTAAAAGTCTTTGTTATGTTGTAAATGAGTTTTGGGTGTGTTTCTAAAATCCATTTCATATAGAGTTTTTTTTATAATTTGGGCTTCTATATTGGGTATAATAGTGAATCTCCCCTCCTCTTGGTCACCATCAATCTCAAAGATAAAGATCAAAAAAGAAAATTTGTGAGCTTTTCAGTGAGAGATCGATTCTTAGGGTTACAATATGATAAAAGAGGGATGAGAGAAACTGAAAATAATGCATAGATTGAAGAGATATTGAGAAAACATATAATAATATGGTGGTGGATTAAGGACTCGATGGATTAAAGAGAGAGTATAATCTTCCATGGAAAAATTAAGAATAGGCATTGCATGAGGAAAGAAGACCCTCTTCTCACAAAGATATATATGATTTCCTTACCTACTTTATTTATGAAATTTATTTTATTAAAATCAGTTCGCCATTTTCAACAAATCAATTGTAACATTTGGTTTTTTGAAAATAATAGAGTGGCTCGTGTGAAAAGCAACTCATTAGCCACCTCTCAAAGATCATTTCTGCAAAAATTACTTGAATTTGAAACCATTTCACCATTCAATTAGATTATTGTTATTTAGTCTATTCTTCAAGCACCATGTTCGTCCATTTTGATGCTTGCACTACCTTAATGAATTTCAATTTGTCTGATTTTTTACAAAGATTATCTATGAATGAAGACTTGAATGGACGACTTGAATGGACGATTTGAATCGTTGAAAAAAAAAATTACAAGGTATCATTAGCAACTATTAAAAGTTTGAGAAAATCTAATTCTGATCCGAAAATTTTCAATTTTGACAATCCAAATTAATTTTGATATCTGAAACTTCTAAAATTTGAAAAGTCCGAAAAAAAAAATAGTTGGAATGGAATCTCAAGATTCCGAAAATTTCAAATTCTGAAATATATTGGGTCAAGCTTAGACTAGATACAATTACTAATTTTATGTTGAACTAAATATAATTTAAGGACCAAATAGATATAGAATAATTATTCCATAAGGAATAACAACATGAAAGTACTAGAATATAATAGTTTTTCATTCAAATGGTAGGGCATGTTTAAAACTTTTGTACTAGGTTCTGAAATTTTCCAAAAAAAAATCCGAAATTTTCTGAAAATTATAAATGTTCCGAGTTTTTCGAATAAAAAAGGATACTG